GCGTCGGTGACCAACCGCCAACCTCACACGGCCGGAGAAATTGTACCTGCTTGACTGCGGGCCAATAACTGGTATAACACCAGGCGCAGCACATGGTGACTGCCGAAACCTCCCACGATTCTATGTAGAGCGAGGCTCTGGTTGACAAGGAGACACCCAACGCCCTGATGTCAGGGCGTGTACAGGATTTGTAGCAGGGGGCGGGATCTAACCGTAAACCCAACAGTTGACGACGCACGGCCGAAGGATCTTAGACCCCCTCAGATGCGTTTTTCTGCGCAAGAGAGGGGGAGGCGCGGTCTGGACCCCTCGACCCCCCCCCCCTGTACCGCCCCTGGATGTAGGCTGTGACAGGACCCCCCCCCCGACACACCCTGTGTAGCTGTTGATGAGAAACATTCCCCACTCTATGTAGCATTCGTGATTGTTGTTGGGTTGTGTGTATGTGCTGTTTGTGTGTGTACCCGCGCTCTGTTACAGATGTAAGCCCTACCCCCCCCCCCTGTGCACTCGCTGTGACCTCACATGACCTCACGATAATCCCACCGCGATGTCCAGTGACCTCACCGTGACTCGCGTCACGTAAGCGCCCCTCCCCGGTCGTGACGGCTACACCGTGTGGTTATCCGTCGCTCGTCTATAGTTCGCTCTCAACCGTCGTCGTCCGCGCGTTTTGCCGCAGTGGGGCAGCTGACAACCACGGAGGCCTGAGCTTCGGTGACGAATATCGGGCGTCCGGCCGCGAACGGGAGCGCGTGATCCATACACGGTCGCAGCCGTCGACGAACCGCACCGCTGACGACGTCAAGAGATGTACCTGCTCGACTCCCGGCGGAACATACCTCGTAGGCTGGCACGCACGTGCAGAGACGAGCGAGCGGTGCCGTCTACGCATGAGGGCGGCGATTTAGTGTTAATGCTCTTTATTGGCTAATATAACACTAGATGGAACGTAATAATTCAATATTAATTAACTACGCGGCTACTTGCTGCTAGAAGCAGAGAGACTGTTAATGCTAGCTCCTACCACATTGACTGCTGTCACCTTACAGCTGATAAGACTGACTATTCTTGTGAGGCTAGCACTGGCGAGGACTGCCATACTTAACGCTGACAGGGGTCGCTTGTCGTATCAGGTACTACATAATTATGTACCCGGAGGTATAATGTACGTTCACGCTTCGGGTACCCGCCTGCGCCTGGGTAAAATCCTGCTAGTAATTCCACTCTACATACTTAATAACTGGACCACACGTAGGCAACATTGGGTAAACATCGACAAGTGACCATTGCACCCAATAAGTCAATATTTTAGAATCGGTCTCAATAAGATAATAAGGCATGGGAAAAACTGTTACGGTATGAACATTTATATGACATGCACAACCCAACTTAGCACACCTGAGACATAATATTACATCAGTACTATGCGGCTCATTAGGCGTCTCATGTCCCCCAGGTATACCGGACACGTACCCTGGGTGCCTACTTGACTATTGGTTTAGGGTTAGGGTTAGGGTTAGGGTTAGGGAGTAGGCGTAGGCGGACTCCCTAGACTCGTTAGTGGAGTCAGGGAGGTACGGTCCGGCATATTAGATTGAGTACCAGGGTACGTTCCGGTATAGCCCCACCGTAACCAGGTACGTCCTGCAGTATACCGGGGGGGGACACAGACCCTCTGAGCAGTAATGATGGAGTACAATGACATAAAACGCTATTGTTCATATAAACAGCCATGCTACGAATGGTTGGATTTTCGCTTTCAAAAGACTCTTGATAAACAATTGTTTTTCGTTTATTCTCTGGCTGCAAATATGGTAGAGATTCGTGGCGTATCGATAACTGTTAAGCTCCCCACGCCTACAGCTATCCATTGTGACGAATCGGTACGCGAATAAAACAAGAAATTCCATCACTATAGCTCATAGATAGAGACCAGGCCAGCGAGGTCGAGGTCCTGCTGTTCCACTGGATTAGATTGATCTAGTGGAAGGCTTGGCGTGCAACCATGCACATTGACAATTTAAGCAATTTTTGTACTTGAATCAGCAAACATGTCATAGCTTTGGAATGGTCACAATGCAATTCTCAGATGAGTAGCATATCTGCAAACGAAACTCCTGAACTGAGAGTGAGTAGTACTTCTGAACTGGTGTGCGTTTATTGCTCTGTTTTAGTTCTTCGATCTTCGGTCTTGCGCGTTCTCACAACTTCACAGCAGATGATGAGGATCATGAGGTGAGGGCTAAGAAAATCACATAGTCCAGTAGGCTTGTGCTAGACCATTCTGTGAACGATGCCGAAATGAGGGGGTTTCAAGGATTTTTCGGCGGTTTGCGGGACGGTCTTGACAGGTTTCTTTTTCACTACGCAACACCGCCGGGGTCAATAAGAGATGGCCTGTGAAAAATTGCATTCGCAGATCGCTTGGGCGGTGTTGACCGGCCTATAGGGAAAAGCATACGTCCTACCATAACTATTACATTCTCACATACGAACTCAAAGTATATATTAGATACACAAAGTGTACCAGACTTTACTACAGAAGATGTACCTAACCCTAACCCTAACCCTATAACATACCTCATCCATATAAAATACTAAAATAATACTAAACAACCTAAAAAACTATCTCGGGTACAATATTAGGAGTGGGATAAGGACTCTATTATTACTCCTCGATATATGTAGTACCTAATAACGACAACGACCCTTCGTGCCATACCTAACTGCATAGCATTGACTTCGATAAACTCGGACTGTGACTATTTACTGTCTAATATTACACCCCGGTGACGGTCACCTCTGTAAGCGTCATTGAGCGGGACAAACTTTATGTCAACGTATTCTCAGCATACCGCTGTTGCGTAAGACACCGTCTGACAGCCTGAGCAACTGTTTCTAACACGCCGTTGACAGTCTGGCAGCAACTGTTGCATAACACCCGTCTGACAGCTGAGCACTGATTGCTAACACGCGCTTAACATATCTGCAGCAACTTGTTGCTAACACGCGTGGACCAACAAAGCTGAGACAACTGTTGCTAACACGGCGTTGTTCAGCTCGAGCATGTTTGCCTACCACGCGTTGGACAGCTGAGCCACTGTTCGCTAATCACACGTTATATCTCGAGCAACTTGTGTGCACACACGTTTGAATATCTGCAAGCAATCTGTTGCTAACACGCGTCTGAAGCTGAGCACACGTTGCTAACACGCGATTGGACAGCTGAGGCACTGTTTGCTAACCACGCGTTGACAAGTGTAGCCAACTGTTGCTACACACGCGTTGACCAGCTGAGCACAACTTTTGCCTACACGCGTTGACAGTGAGCAAAATGTTGTTTGCTAACGCAGTTCTGGGGCTGAAACAACCTGTTGCTACACGCGGCTTGACAGCTGAGCCAAAAATGTTGTAACACCGCTTAATTATCTGCAGCAATTGATTTGCTACACACGCCGCTATGACAGCCTGACGCAACTGTTGCTAACACGCGTTGACAGCTGAGCAACCTGTTGCTTAACACGCGTTGGGGCTGAACAACCTGCTTTTGCTCAAACACGCAGTATCGACAGCTGAGCATACTTGTTGCTGAACCACACGTTAACTATCTGAGCAATTGTTCGCTAACGACGCGTTGACAGCGTGAGCAACTGTTTGCGTAAGACACGCTTGACAGCTGGACGAAACCTGTTGCTAACACACGCGCTCAGGGCTGAACAACTGTTGCTAACACGCCGATTGACAGCTGAGCCAACTCGTTTGCTAACCACCACTTGTGAATACTCTTGAGCAAGCTGCTTGCTAACACGCGGGGGGCTGAAAAACGTTGCTAAACACGCGTTTGACAGCTGACCAACTGTTGCACCTAACACGGCGTGGTGGGGTGAACAACGTGCTAACACGCCGTCTGACAGCTACGAAACTGTTGCTAACACGCGTTGCGGCGGCTGAACCAAACCTGGTTGCTAAACAGCGCGTTGACAGCTGAACAACACCTGTTGCTAAGCACGCGTTTAACACTGAGCAACCTGCTTGCTAACACGCTTGACAGCTGAGAAAAACTCGTTGCTAACACGCAGCTTGACAGCTGAGCAAATCTCGCTTGCCTCTAACACCGCGGTTGACAGCCTGGAGCAATGACTGCTAAACACCGCGCTTGACCAGCTGTAGCAACGGTTGCTAACACGCGTTGACAGCTGAGCACTGTTTTGGCTAACACGCGCTTGACAGCTGAAGCAACTGTGCTACACGCGTTGACAGCTGAGCAAACTGTGCCTAACACGCGTTGACAGCTGAACAACTGTTGCTACACACGCGTTGACCAGCTGAACAAGCTGTTGCTAACACGCCGTGACACGC